AAGGGGGAGGAGGAGGAGGAGGAGGAGGAGGAGGAGGGAGGGAGGAGAGGGGAGGAGGAGGAGGAGGAGGAGGAGGAGGAGGGAGGAGGAGGAGGGCGGTCGTCTGGGGCCTGGCCCTGTGGGCCAGGCGCGTTTCTCGAAGCCTGCGCGAAGCGTAGCCCACCCTGGGCGGCGAGGCCTGGCACTGAGTAAGTATTCATGCCTTCAGCATTCAATCTCTACTCCTCCTCCCCCGCCCCATCGTCATCATCATCTCCTATACCACGATCTTCCTCCTCCTCCTCCTCCTCATCCTCATCCTCCTGATCCCCATCCTCATTATCCTCCTCCTCCTCCTCCTCCTCCTCCTCCTCCTCCTCCTCCTCCTCCTCCTCATTTTACATCCCTCATAGCCCTCCTTATGTGAAACAGCAAGATGACTCCAAGATGCCCAAGAGAGCTCCAAGAAGGCCCCGAGAGGGGCCCAAGGCGTCCCCAAGCTAGAGCACCCCAACAGGGCCCCAAGAGACAATTTCTCCGCCTCCAAGGGGCACGCAGCAGCGCGCGCGCGCGCGCACGCCACGTACTCAGCGTCCTGTCCTGTCCTGCCTCCCTCTTTGATCGGTTGCCCCCTAAATGGCCCCAAGAGGCCCCATCGAGTCCCCCAAGTCCGTTGGGATCGAGACCAGAAGCTTGGACATACGTAGCGGAACAGCTGCACGGATGGAGGGCGGTTCCTTTTCAAAATGGGGTTCTTGCTTGAGGCTCCCTCAAACTGAACGGCCCAAAGTTTTTCATTGTGCCCCGGTTACACGGACGGGGTGGGGTCCTTATCAAAACGGGGCTCTCGCTGGATACCGCCTTGGGCTTTTCCGAAAAAATTCGTATGCTTAGGGCTTGCTACTGACGTTCCATCTGTAATTGGACGGGTCCGCCGAAAATGTTCCACGTTGCCGCCCCGTGGCGCCCCGTGGGCGCTCGTAGGCGCCCCGTGCGCTGGGTGGGTCCGCCAAGGTTGCGCCGCGTTGCCGCCCGTGCCGTTTCGTGGGCGCCCGTGGGCGCCCCGTGCGCTGAGTGGGTCCGCCGAAATTGCGCCACCACGTTGCCCCCCGTTCCGCCTCGTGGGCATTCGTGGGCGCACCGTGCGCTGAGCTTGCACCACGCAGCTTCACCCCACAGCTTACACGACATAGCTTGCACCACAGAGCTTGCGCCACACAGCTTGCACAGCATAGCTTACACCACCTCGCTTACACCGCAGAGCTTTCACCTCCAGCTCACACCACGTAGATGTCACTAGGTCAGTTCTCCTTTCAAACAAATAACAAACTCTACCACCCTCCCCCCGCGAGTTATTGCTACCCCCTGGGGCACTGCAACTTGCATATGAGTATGCCTTGTCGTTCATTTTTGATATGGAACCGTCCCCCCCCCAGTCCAACCAGTATCGAACTCCCTCCACCCCTGTCATATATTGCGATGCGCGCACACTCGTCGACATCATATCAAACGCACCACACTTGTAAGCATACCAAAATAAAAACCTTGCAACCCAAACATGTTAGATGTTCTGCCCGCACGCATTGGCTAAACAAATAGAAAACCACATAAACTTAGCAATACCACCCAGAACCCGCATTCTCGTCTCACCACGCGGTGCAACCGCGTTGATCCAGCATGCGCCCAGCGCACGAAGTAGCACCACTGACCACCATGCGGGCTACACGCGCGCGCCGCAACGCGCGCGTGACGATATCCTTCCAGAACGATTGGCACTGGAAGCATTCAAGATAGAACTCTTCAATTAAAAACTCCATGGTTTCAGTAATAAGCTGCGAGGGATCTTTTACTTCACCGCGCGAACGCGCTTCCTCACATCACCCTCACCAAACCCGCCGAATCACGTCATCGTCATCGACAATCGCCGCCATCATCACGCAAGCAAAATTACCACCCACGCGTGAACATCATCATCGTCATCGTTGACACCCGCATCGGCACCGTCATCGGCTATGCCGTCGTCATCGTCATCATTGCCACCACCATCGCTACTACGTTCATCGGTGCCGTCGTTGTCGACGTCATCATGATACCGCGCCCGCCAAAATCACCGACCCGCGTTGAAGTGCCTGTGCGCCACCGCGGCCTTTGATATGCGCTCGGAATCTACCATTGGTATGCGCCATCACCGCCCCATCGGTTGCGCCATACCAACTGACCGCTCTGCTCGAGAGCTTGCGCGCGCTAGCGCAGCAGCAGGGATGCGCCAGCGGGTGCCAAGGAGTCACCGCAAATCAAGTTGCGGATGGGAGGGTGGGCTGATTGCGCGAACAGTAAGTTGAAAACTCACTATTGAACATTAAGTTGCTCACACCGCATAGGTTACCTCCCCCTTCGGATGGAGGAGGGGGCGGATGAGAAAGAGGAGGGGGGGAGGGGGAAGCCGAGAAGGGTCCACGTGATTATGACAGTCGTTTGCGGTGCCTGGAGGGGTCGGGATCAATCTCCTTCTCCTCGTTCCTGCATGGCCCTTTCCTTCATCCGTGGGTCTTGCCTTCCCTCGTGCCCCCCTCTCGTCATAATCATCATCATCACCATCATCATCATCATCATCATCATCATCATCGTCATCATCATCATCACTATCATCATCATCATCATCATCATCATCATCATCAGCATCATCATCATCAGCATCATCAGCATCATCATCAGCATCATCACCATCACCATCACCATCACCATCACCATCCTCGTCATCAGCATCGTCATCATCGTCATCATCGTCATCGTCATCGTCATCGGCAGCATCAGCATCATCCTCATCGTCATCATCATCACCACCATCACAATCGTCAGCATCATCATCACGAGAATAATCGTCGTCATCACCGTCATCATAATGATTACCATCATCCTCAGCATCAGCAACGTCATCATCAATAGTATCGTCATCAGCAGCAGCATCATCAGCGACAGCAGCAGCAACAACATCATTATCATCATCAGCATCATCATCATCGTCATCATCACCACCATCACCACCGTCAGCATCATCATCACCATAATAATCGTCGTACTCATCGTCACCGTAATGATTACCAGCATCCTCAGCATCATCACCGTCATCATCACCAATATCATCGTCATCAGCAGCAGCGTCATCAGCGGCAGCAGCAGCATCATCAGCATCAGCAGCATCACCATCATCATCACAATCACCAGCAGTAGCATCATCATCATCAGCATCAGCATCGTAATCATCATCATCACCGTCGTCATCGTCGTGGTCATCAGCATGGCATGGCCACCATCGCCAACATTAGTGTCGTCGTAGTCGTAATAGGCATCGTCAGCATCAACATCATCATCGCCATCATCATCAACATCATCACTATCATCACCATCATCATCGTCATTGTCGCCATCATCATCGTCATCGTCATCAGCATCATCATCAGAATCGGCATCATCGTCACCATCATCACAATCGTCGTCAGCATCGTTATCACCAGCATCGTCATCAGCATCAGCATCATCATTGGCATCCTCATCATCAGCAGCAGCATCATCATCGCCATCATCATCGTCATCAGCAGCATCAGCATCATGATCGACATCATCATCATCATCATCATCATCATCATCATCATCATCATCATCATCATCATTCATCGCCGGCATCGTAATAATCATCATCATGATCACCATTGTCATGTTCAGCATCATCATCATCATCATCATCATCATCATCATCATCATCATCATCATCATCTTCACCATCATCATCATCATCATCATCATCATCATCATCATCATCATCGTCATCATAATCCTCGTCAGCAGCAGCAGCGTAAGCATCATCAGCATCAGCAGCAGCATCACCGTCAACGTCACCGCCATCGTCATTGGCACCGGCATCGGCATCCTCATCGACATCATCAGTATCATCGTAGGCAACAATACTACAAGCATCGTCATGATCACCATCAGCATCATCGCGATCATCAGTATCAGCTGCAGCATCATCACCAGCAGTGCCATCATCAGCATCATCAGCATAGTAATCATCATGGTCCTCATCAGCATCATCATCGTCGCCATCACCATCATCATCATCATCAGAATCACCATCATCATCGGTATCACTATCGTCATCATCAGCATCAGCATCATCATCAGCATCGGCATCATCATCACTATCATCATCGTCGCCGTCACCGTCAGCATTATCCCCTTTCTCTGGAAATGCCCGAAGAACCTCAGACCACCAGCGTCAACCGCCGACACCAGTTTGACACATGATACTCCTCTTCCTTCTCCTCCCCCTCCTCCTTCTCCTCCTCCTTCTCTTCCTCCTCCTCCTCCTCCCCCTCCTCCTCGCTCCTCCTCCCTCATCGTCATCCTCCTCCTCCTCCACCTCCTCCTCCTCCTTCTCCTCCTCCTCGTCCTGGTTCTCCTCGTCCTGTTCTTCCTCATCCCCATCCCCATCGCCCTGGATCCCTCTCTCCCTTCCTGCCTCGCCCCATCACTCGTTCTCCTTTCTCACCCTCCTCGTTCCTCCTCATTATTATTCTCTCTTCTCTCCCCTCTCCCTCTCCTCCTCCTCCTCCTCCTCCTCCTCCTCCTCCGTCCTCCTCCTCCTCCTCCTCCTCATCATCATCATCATCATCATCATCATCATCATCATCATCAGCATCATCATCATCATCATCATCATCATCATCATCATCATCATCATCATCATCATCATCATCATCATCATCAGTTTCATCATCCATGCTGTGTTTCCGCCTCACGGCTCTCGATGGCTCCCTTTGTGCCCTTCCAGGGGGGGCCGCCATTCACATCGCTGAGGGGTGGACACACCCCACCCACTGTGTGAGGCTGCATCAGGACTTAGGAGTTTGGTTATGTGCCAGCTGTGGGATGTATGGAGATAAGCAGTTGCTCGGTTTAGGGGCCGAGTGTTGGTCTTCGCCCACAACGACTCGAAAGAAGCACTTAAGACATCTTAAGACGCATCATATTGGGGCTTTGGCCTAAAGCGTATAGGAAAGCCCAATTAGAACGCCAAGAGTTGAAAGCCCATAATGGGTCTTTGTCATGCGTTGGCGGGACTACGTCCTGGGACTCCAATTCCAACTCCAACCTCTTCCTCCTCCTCCTCCTCCTCCTCCTCCTCCTCCTCACTTCCTCCTCCTGCCGCGTGGCCTCGACCTCCCCCACCCTCCCCTCCTCCCCCTCCTCCTCCCCGTCCTCCTCCTTCCCTAACCATGTGCTGCACGGGAGGCACCGCGGAGGCTCCTTCAGAGGCATCCACTTCAATATGAGGTCCACGGGCTCAACCTGGGGCACACCTGCGGCTGCGGGGCTTCGAACGAGGACGGAGTAGGAGGGGAGGAGGAGAGGAGAGCGAGGCAGGAGAAGGAGGAGGAGGAGGATGAGGATGGAAGAGGAGGACCGAGGACGAGAAAGAGAAAGAGAGAGCTGGAGGGTTCTGGGGGGATGAGCCTGTCGCTGTTTGTACCACGTTCTTGAGGGGTCCTAGGGTCCTCCAGAGGTCGCTGGGAGGTCCCACAGGGGAGGATGAGAAAGAGAAGTGGGAAGGAGGAGCAGCAGGAGTGAGAGGAAGGAAGAGAGGGGAGACTGTTTCCCGTTTTGGTTTGTTTTAGTTGTTCCTCGTTTCGTCTTCGTACCGCAACGGCCCACGAAATCGTAAAAACAACGTTCATGTCGAGCCCTGGTTCGTGCTGGAAGGCCTGTGGGATGGGCAAGGGTGCCCCCAGACGGCACGAAAGCGGTCCCCGATCTCATCCCAAAGAGCTTGAGGACAGGAACAAAAAACTCTGGCATGGACCCTCACCAGAGCCAGAATAGTCCGCAAAGAAACTTCTGGGACATGACATGTAGTAAACCATGTCAAGTGCCCCCACGACAGATCACTACCGATCCTGTATCCGGGGAGGGCGGCCCAATGCCGGGATGGCAGAAGCATCAATAACTCTCCATAGCTAGCCAGAGGATGGGAGCAAGAAGAGGACACTCCTATCCGAAGAAAAAACTGCAGGAGTCACCGTCACCGAAACTACCAGGGGGGCCACTGACATTGTCTGCGGTAAAACAGCAGCCTTGAGAAGCGAATCTAAACTTCAGCCCCCAGGGGGCCGCAACAATGGCCCGAGGGCTGTTCAGAGCTTCGGTTCCTCATGGACCAAAATACCGCGACGCTGCAGGCATTCCTGTTTGGTGAACGCAGAGCTGTACCCACTCGCAATCAAGCGCCGGCCTGTGCCTGTGCGATAGGCGAGTTGGACGCAAGTGGGCAGATCGATCTCCTGCTCGCGTTTCAGATAGGAAGAGGGAAACGGAGAGAAGAAGCGGCGCTGCAGACATGCGCTCGCGTCACAGCTGCGCGGCTGCCTCGCCTGCGACAAGCCTTGGGAATCAGAGGCCCTGGGACCCGCGGCCTCGGTTTCGCGGAGGAAGAGCAAGACGACGACGACGACGACGAGATTGCTTATTCAGTGTCACGCCGGGGTTCACGACACGGGAAGCTCAGAAGCTGTCGTGATCCACCGGACAGTGGCTCTACTGTGCGCTGCGCCTCATCCTTCCCCCTCCGACAATATTCGTACGCCTGCTCATGTGCATCCACTCTTCCTTAAATGTTTACTCGTATGTGCCACCCGTGGCGGATACTTGGCAAGTTGAGGCGTGAAGGAATGCCAAGTGCTGCCCGCCAGGGTTTCTGTAACCTTCTCAGGGACAACCCCCTCTTCTGGCACTCAGCTGCATGCATCGCCGCCCCCTTCCTTCGCAACAAAGATTAGACATCGTGCACCCCAAACAATGGATACTGCACTGTGGAAGTGACAGGCTATGCGGTGCAAGATGTGTGGTGCAAGCTACGTCGTGTAAACAACAAATAATGTGAGCTGCGACTGTGAAAGCTACGCAAGGTGATCGGTGTGTTGCAAGCTATGTCGGGTCATCCGTGTGGCGCGAGCTACGGAAGCGCGAGCTATGCGGTGCAGGCTAGGTGTTGTGAGCTATGTCCCATGTCGTGCAAGCTGTGTGGTGCAAGCTGCGTGGCGTAAGCTCAGCGCAAGGGGCGCCCACGAGGCGCCCACGAGGCGCCCACGACGCGTCCACGAGGCGTCCGCGAGGCGGCAGCGTGGCGCGCGACCTCGGCGGACCCGCCCAGCGCACGGGGAGCAGCGCTCGACGAGGCGGCACAGGGCGGCAGCGTGGAACATCCTCGGCCGACCCGTCGACTCACCTGGCGGTCGGAAGAAGTGGGGAGGAACACGAGTAGGAAGGCGCTGGAAGTAGATTCTGTCACCACTCGCCCCCTGACGAAGAGGGAAGAGGGAGGACCGTTCGACTCTTGAAGTAGGAAGACGCTCGAAGTAGATCAGGATCAGGGAACCCATGAAAACATCGACTTTCAACGACCGATGGGTGCGCAAGGGACAGTAGTAAGAAGCCCTAAGTGTAAGCACTGCATGGGGAACAACGGATCCACGCTCCCGAAGCCACGATTCCTCATCAGCTGTGGGCCCACGCTCCCGAAACCACGATCGCTTGTAAAAAATGGGCCCGGGCCTCCGAGGCCACGATCCCTCGTACAAAAAAACATGGATCCGCACTCCCGAGCTTCCCAGAAGCGGAGCTCTCGCCCGAATGGTAGGCCCATAGGGGAGCTCGTCTTTCAAGGGGGCGCTGCCTCGAAGAGAAAGGAGTACCTCCAGGGCCTCATGGGGAGGGAGTCTCGACGGGAGGATGTTTTCTGCAGAATCGTCGATGCATCCTGGGCTTACTGGGGTCCTCCTCCTCCTCCTCCTCCGCCTCCTCCTCCTCCTCCTCCTCCTCCTCCTCCTCCTCCTCCTCCTCCTCCTCCTCCTCCTCCTCCTCCCCCTCCTCCTCCTCCTCCTCAAAGGCGTCCCGCGCCCGTCCGCCCGTCGCTGGCTCGCGACCTCCCTGGGACCAGAACTCCTGCTCCGCGAAACCAGCACTCAGTCAACGGCTGTTGCGGGGGGGGGGGCCGAAAAAGCACCCATACCGCTACTCCCCGGACCCTCTCCTGGTGCGTTCCGACCCGAATTCTTCGAGGAGAGTCCAGCCGTGGCGCCGGGGGCTCTCCAGGGCGAGCAGCGGTGCGAGTCTCCCTTCCTCCCCCGAGGCTGGCCACAGCCCGCAGCCGCGGCCGCGGCCGTCTTCGGCGGCGTGCCCAGGGGGTGAGGGTGGGAGGGGGCGGGCCTTCCCCATCGGGGACGCACTGGCCCGCGTCAGTGCAAGCCATGGTCAGTCAGGCCTTCCAGGATCCTGCAAAATCCTGCAGGATCCTGCAAGATCTTACGAACAAATCCGGGTCAGTGCAGCCCTGGCCCTGCAGGATCTTGCAAGATCTGGCGCACTGGCTGACCCCCGTTTGCATTGACCCCCGTCACTGGAGCCCCGACTCAAAAGGCTCAGAAGAGTTCGGGCCTCCTGAAACCCTTTCTGGGCCTTCTCCGAAGCCCGCTGCTTTCCGAGAAGGCTTCCCCCCTCTCTCTCGGAGCAGGGCGAGTTGGGACAACGGCAGCTCAAAATCAGCCTCTTGACCTCTCTGGGGGTCCAAACGCACCAGTGCTCCGAGCTGCGCCCAGCCGTGGCGACGAGGGTGCCCCCCGATGGCCAATTGCAATTGTCTCAACTAGCCCTCATCTCCTCCTCCTCCTCCTCCTCCTCCTCCTCCTCCTCCTCCTCCTCCTCCTCCTCCTCCTCCTCCTCCTCCTCACCCGAGCCTATTCCCCCATTTTTCAATACAAAACTCGGGTCTCACACGGCCGTTCGGGACGATCCCGCCCCCCCCCCCCCTGGACGCTCTCGTCGAGACGCAGCTGATGGAAACCCCCCTGGGTCTCGAAAACGCCCGAAAACTTGCAACAAAAAACATCCCCCCCACCCCCGAGCGTGTCCCCCCCCTCAGCACGGCGCCGATCCACGGCAGCCCGCAGCCGCAGCCCGCAGCCGAAGCCGCCTCCCCGCAGCCGCAGCCGGCAGGCCTCGCGGCTCCCAGGGGCCAGCGCTGACCACGTCGCCGGCTCGGAGGGCCGTGGCGCGCAGAGCAGCAGCAGCGAGCGGCGCTCGCCTGGAGGCCTCCCGAACGGGGTCCGTGCAGGGTCAACAGGTCCATAGTAAGGACGCGCTGCTTCAAAGAGGCTGCCCCTGCATCCCTGCTTCTTCGAGCCCATGCTGAGCCAGCGGTGGCGTCCGAGGCGCTCTGAAAATGGTAAGTGGGACTTCCGAGAATATTGCATCCCTACCTCGCAGCCTTACTACAGACTTTGACTGTAGACGGGGTCGGGGGACCGCGCCGCATCGCCCATGCATCGGCGATGCATCGGCGCCGCAGGCGTGGTGAACATCGGCCTTGACGTCCAGCAGCATCGGCGACGCATCGGGGGTGCGGCGCGATCCTCCGACCCTGTCTGCTGGGACCCCCATTTGAGAGGCCTGGATCGCCGCGGGTCACCGGCGTGACCCGGTGCTCCAGAACCTCGGGCGGGCCCGAATCTCCGACGGTATGATGTTCTCGGTCCCCGCCTTTTCCCTCGACTGCGGCCTCCATGGGGCCCGTTCTCGGGCCCTGGGGGCCATCAGACAGGGGCCCAAGACGACGAGCTGCCCCCGGGGAAAGGGGTCGGAAGGTCCGGGGGTGCGAAGTGGAGAGATCGGAGGGCAGGGCTCGAGGTGTCTTCTGGTGCCCTCGTCGGTCCTCGGCGGCTCTCCGGCCTCGGGGTGCTTTCCAGCAGCTGCGCCTCGCCGAGAGCGTTGCGAGGCCCGAGGTGCTCGGCTGCCTCCATCGGTCCTCGAAGACTTTCTGGCCTCGGGGTGCCTTCCAGGCAGCTGCGCCTCGCCGAGGGCATTCCCAGGGCTGCCCGGATCGCCCCGAGCGGCCGCCAGAGGCCCGGAGCAGGACCCGGAGATCAGACGACAAGGACGAGGAGCGGGGGGTGGGGGTGCGAGAGTGGCGAGGACGACGAGGCCTGGGGCGAGAACGGGGAGGCCGAGAAAGACCAGGGGGCTCTCTGCTCGACGGCGGCTTGGCGCAAGGCGTGCTCGGAAAAGGCCAGGGGCAGGGAGGAGAGAGGACAAAGACTGGCCCCCCAAAAAGAGGAAGAGGAAGGAGAGAATCAGAGAGATCCGGGCTCTGGGCAACCCGGGCGCACGCCCCTCAGAGGGACACTTTGCGTCGCCCTGGCGCAGGCGGCGACAGCCTGCCTGGGGCCAGCGAATGGGAGCACACGCCCAGACTAGAAGAGGCCGTCGCCTGGAAAGAGAGGCCTGCCCCGGCCTTCAAGTGGTCCTGGCGCCCCAGGGCTGGGGCTCCCTCCTCGACCAAGGTCGAGGCGGTAACGGACGTCCGCCAGGCAGAGCCGCTCGAAGAACCGTGGAGCGGGCACGATCCCATCGCCGCCTCCCTGCTGGGCCCTGTTGGTCTCCAGGGGGCCACGGAGCCCCCAGATGCCCCCTCGGAGATGGCGGCATGGTCGCCGCACGTGGTGCCAAAGAGGAGGTCGGGAGTCCCTCCGACCCCACGGGGAACTCGCTCGGGGCAAGACCACCCGCACGCCAGGGGTGAATGACCAAAAAATGTTGGTTGGGAACGTGCGGGGGCAATGCATCCGTCACGACTTCTTGCGCATACGTTGTGGCAATGCTCCCATACACGTTTGCATGCACACCGTCAGTAGTCAGCTTGGTTCAGCAGAGTCCCGCAAGGGACGAAACGTTAGCCCGATACTGACACAAATTGTATCGGCGTGCTTTGATCGTCCAGCCGGATTGTCTTAACTTGATCGGGGTCCAGGTCGCCCGGGGGGCCTGCCGCACTGGGACTGGACAGCCCCTCCAGTGGGAGCGGCATCGGAGCCTGCTCGCGGCGGGGGGGAGGCGAGTGCCATGAAGCAGGGGCCCATCTGGGAGCCGATCAGCCCCCCGAGGGGGCCTCCAACGAAACCATGGTGAGCGACTGGGCGCCCGCACACCAGGGGTCCGGGGTCTGACGCGCCGCCCTGGCTTGCCGCACTGGGCCTGGATGGCCCCTCCTGCAGGGGCGGCGTCGGAGCCGCCTCACGGGGGAGGGGGGGAGGGGGGCGAGTTACGCCCGGGGAGCCCTGCGCCCGAGCGGGCCAGGGATAGCAGCCTACAATCAGCACGCACTTCGAGGGCTACGCGCGGCGCGTCGCCACGCCAGCCTCCCCCGTCTCCAAGAGCAACGAGCGCATCATCTGCCCAGGTGGGGCAGTAGAAGCGTACGTCGTCGACGGCCCACGAGCGCGGCAGGCGCGCTCTTTGTGGTAACTAAGGGCCTGCCTGGGATCTGATCAGCCCCCCGACCGATGGGGCCTCCAACGAGACCAGGGTGCGCGTCTGGGCACCGAGATGGTCAGAAACTTCCTGGTCGCCGCAGCGCGCCTCGGCACACCCGACGAACGCCAGCGCTGACCTCGCCAGCGCCAGAAAGCCTCGAGGTCAAAAGGTCATGGCTGACATGGAGGAGGACATGGGCGCCCCTCGCCTGGCCAGCCTATATGCCCCATGGCCGCCATCACGCTCGAGGGCAGACGACCTGCCTTCACTCACGTCGTACATGGAAGCATATGCTGGCAGTTATACGGGGGAGTGACGCCCGCCCTGGCCGCCAGCCCTGGGAGCAGCAGGTCCGACCAAGTGAACCATCGCTCTTGCGGCCCTGCAGCCGCAGCTCGTGACAAGCAGCATGCCAAAGTGACAGCTCAGTCAGCGCAGAGGGTGGCACTGGAGGAGGAGGAGGAGGAGGAGGAGGAGGAGGAGGAGGAGGAGGAGGAGGAGGAGGAGGAGGAGGAGATGGAGGAGGAGGAGGTCCCCACCACGTGGCGAGAGGCCATGCACACCGCAAGATCCCCTCTGCCTCGCGACACCCCAAGCGGGCAGCACCGTGGGCCATGGGGCGGCACTTGGCCGTACCACCCTGGAGCCAGTCTGTGATAATTCGCGGTGACGCCCGTGACCGGCCCCGCACCACCACCACCCTTCGCCCCCCCATCAAAGGAACGTGCGCGCGCGGGCAGAAATTCTTGACGCCGGCGTTTTTCGCAAAGGCGCGAGCGGGGAACGCGGGCGTGGGGGGCCCCTGTAGGGTCCCGGAGAGGCCCAGCAGGAGGGGCAACTTCGATTCAGATTACTAGGGAGCTCAAATCGTGAGTCCCCGGCCAGGGTGGATGGTTGGGGCCGCTGTGGCTTTTTGGACGCCAGGCAGGGAGGGGATATAAATCATGCCAAAACTGTTTCTGAGCGTCTAGCTGTCAAGCTCCACACCTGTGCACCAAATGGGCCCCAGACAGCCCTGAGGAGCATGACGCTTCCTCCCGGCGAGTCGATGCGATCCCTCCCCCCTCCTGGTCACGTCACGATTCGCGCCAGCGCCATCTGGGAATCGGCCATTCCTCTGTGCTCCCAAACGGCGACGGGGCGAATCGTGACGTGACCAGCCCCCCCCCGTCCTCCATCCCCAGTCACGCCCGTCATCACCAAGGGATTGAAAAAAACGGCCTCCTGCGACCGCGACCATCATTCACCGCCACTCCCCGACCAGCCGCTCGGGCAGAGGGAAGCTCGAAGCGGAACCCCCGGTCCGATGACCAAGAATCGCTGTCCCCCCAGGGCGACTCGAAGGGCCGGTTGCCCATCCGCCCGAAACTCCATGGACGGGCCCCGAGGCGTCCCGGCCAGGAGCTTGCACGGGTCGAGGAGGAGGCGCCCCGAAAACCGCTCCTGGAGAACGAGGGGCCCTCTGCTGGAAAAGCGAGTGGCCTCCTCGATCTCTGGAGGAGTACTGTCTCGCCGCCAGGGAGCCCTAGGCAGGGCAGGCCAAGCGTCTGCGGAGAAACGTGCCTACCTCACCACAGCGCAGGGACGGCGAAGACGAGTCCGAGTCTTGCTGGGAGAGGCGATGCTGACACCAGTGGGAGCCGATGACTAGCCCTCGCAATGTTGCTCTCTCACACCCCAACCCTCCAACATCCCGTCCCCGTCCTCACTTGTCCTCCGCTGGAGCAGCTCATCGAGCGGCGGCCAGGACGACGACGACGACGACGACGACGACGACGACGACGATGACGACGACGACGACGGCGACGACGGCGACGACGACGGCGACAACGACGACGACGGGGGCCAGGACGACGAGGAGGAGAAGGCAAAGGACGAGGATGAGGAGGGGGAGGAGGAGGAGGAGGAGTGAAAGAAGGAGCACGAGGACGAGGAGAAGCGGCAGCATGAGAACGAGCAGGAGAACGAGGAGAGAACAAGGAGGACAAGGACGAGAAGGACGAAAAGACCAAGGGGAAGGGGAGGGACAAGAGAGTACGAGGTAGGCGGCAGCGGGCGGAGGGCGCCGTGGACCACCGGGCGCGGCCCCACGCGTCGGAGCCTTGGACGGGAACGCCACCGCGGCACCCGGCGGGTATCTCCTCGTCAGCACGCCGCCGTCGACCTCGCCCGTGGGCCCCGCGGCAGCAGGCCCCGTGCCCGCGCCGGCGCCGCCGACCTTCAGCTGCAGGTCGCCACCCTCGTACGTGCAGGGGTCGGTGAAGTAGACGACGACGGTCGGACGACGCCAGCTGCGGTGGGGAGCTTTCGGCCTCCTGGCTCCCACGGCGGAAGGCTTTTGTCAACCTTCGGCCTCCAGGGGCCCTCACCAGGCCCCCGCACCATCCCAGAACGACCCGGGACGAAAAGCCGGTCCCGGCGAATCCAATCGGGAACTTTTGCTCAGCATGTCGCGGCGTCGGCCCTGGCGACGCGCGATGGCCGCGGGGCGGGAGGCTGGAAAGAGCTCGGGACGCTGACTCTCGGGGACTGGAACGTGCTTCGCGTGCCGCGCCGAAGCGTGGTGGGCCAGAACCGGCGGGGCGACTCGCTGAGGGGGTGGAGGGCGAGGAGAAGGCTTCAGAAGGAGGCTGCTTCGTAAAGGCGCCAGGCTTGCACATATAGATGTCAGGCCCGCGCCTTTCAAGAATCAGGATGCTTCTAAAAAGCCCTCCCCCCTCCACAATTACACAATATGGATACTACTCTCCTGTCCCCTGGCGGCGTCCGGGGAATGTCTGGCCCCCCTCCGCGGACTGGTTTTTTACACATCGGATTCCCGGGAGTTGGGTTCTCGCTTGGGCTTGTGTTCAAAATGCTGCTCTCGCCTATGCGCTGGCCTCATTTTCGGGCTACCGCTCGTTCCGAATCGTGCTCCCACTGCAGCGGTGGCCTCATTTCCGCGCTTCCGCTCGCTCGGAATCGAGCTCCCGCTGCAGCACTGGCGTCATTACTTCGAGTGCCATGCCCCTGCATGGTTTTCGGTCCTTCCAAATAAGCCCCAAAATTCTAGAAAATGGCCTCCCGCAGAAACCATTGGAAGTGATTACGCATTCGATGTCGATTCGCTGACCCCTTGGGCCACAAAGACCCCCACCTTGGGATGTCGCCACGCACGCCATGCTATGTCATGCTACGCGCTGATCTTCGACACCATGCTATGCCATATAATGCTATGCCATGCTACGACATCTGATTGTGCGAATAGAAAGGAGATCTACGCCACGGTAAGGGATGGGAGGGAGGGAGGGGTAGGACGTCAGATATGACGCGAGCGCACCTGGCTTGCCCTACCCCCCCTCTGCGCGTTGCCAACATGATCAGGGTGGCTGGGACAGGAGGGCGCCTACAACGATCCTGGGCAACGGGTGAGCCTTGTGGGGATCGGCGTCGGTGCAGAGCTGGCGCCCTCCGAGACGGAGATCGCGCGGGGGCCCGTCTGGTTGTCGTCGCAGTGCCAGTCGAACCGCTTGTCGCTGAAGCTGGGGCCTTTCGGCTTCTGATCCCTCTCATGCTTGTCCTGCTCGTCGTCGTCGTCCTCTCCTCCTCCTCCTCCTCCTCCGCCTCCTCCTCCTCCTCGTCCTCCTCCTCCTCCTCCCTCCTCCTCCTCCTCCTCCCGCCTCCTCCTCCTCCTCCTCCACCTCCTCCTCCTCCTCCTCCTCTTCATCCTCCCTCCCCTCCCCTCCCCTCCCCTCCCCTCCCCTCCCGGGGCCAAAGCGGTCGTACACCAGCTCGTCCGTTGGCTCCAGCGGGCCGGAAGCGAGGCCCCAGCCTGGGGCCGGCTGCAAAAGCGAGGTGGCGGCCCGGCACGGCCCGAGGGCCGAGCCGAGTCGAGTCTGCCATCACACGGAGGCGACCTCAGCAGAGCAGCAGGCAGGAAAAGACCAGCTTGAGGAGAGCAGGCAGGAAGCAAAGGAACGCCCATCCTCCTCCCTCCTCCCCTCCCTTCGCCACCCTTCCTTGTACCTGAGTCCGCCCTGTCGCACCACCAGACGTGTCCGCAGGCAGGGCTGGGCGCTTCGCTTGCGACTTCCTGGCAATTCAAACATCCTGAAGCTAGAGACTCCAAAAGAGCTGCAAGGATGGAGAGCCAGTGGCTTTCAAAATGCGGCTCTCGCCTCAGCTCCGCGCACATCGGTTTATCAAAGTTTTCGACAGCTATAGAGATAGAGGTAGATACGTGTTCTAAATGCAGCTGTTGGCTCCTCAAATTCTGCAACAACTGTGCAACAACTACACGGTTGGAGGGCGGCTCTTGTTCAGAATAGGGCTATCGCTTGAGACTTCCGCGACTTGAGTTACCATTAGCTTTGACATTGTGCAACACCTACATAGACGGAAGGCCTGTCTTTTTCAAAACGGGGCGATCGTTGGACACCTCCTGGAACTTGATCCTCCTATTTCTGCGCGCTTCTTGTAGCGAAAGAATAAAATGGGGTCTTGCCTGAGTGGCAGGCCCACCAGGCACGGAAAGGAACCCGGGGCGCTTCCCGCAGTGGAAAGCAAGGCTTATTAGGAGGGACTTGCGACAGGGAAAAATAGTGCAGCATCGTTGACGATGTACTCTCGGTTTCCTCTGGACATCGTCATCCTCATCTTCCTCCTGTGCCTCCTCCTCCTTCGCCTGCTCCTCCTCCTCATCCTCCTCATAAGCATCCTCATCATCATCATCATCATCATCATCATCATCAGCATCAGCATCAGCATCAGCATCAGCATCAGCATCAGCATCAGCATCAGCATCAGCATCAGCATCATCATCATCATCAGCATCATCATCATCATCATCATCATCATCATCATCATCATCATCATCATCATCATCATCATCATCATCATCATCATCATCATCATCATCTCATCCCCCCCTCGCCCCCTCCTCCTCCCTTTACCCTCCTCCTCCTCCTCCTTCTCCACTCTCCTCCTCCTCCTCCTCCTCCTCCTCCTCGCCCCCCCCCAGGCCGTCTCCTCCTCCTCCCTCCTCCTCCTCCTCCTCCTCCCTCCTCCTCCTGCTCCTCCTCCTCCTCCTCCTCCTCCTCCTCCTCCTCCTCCTCTTTCTCCTCCTCCTCCTCGCCCCCCCCAGGCCTTCGCCCTCACCGTCACCCGAACCATTCCGCTCACCATGACCCCTCCTCCTCACCCTCGTGCAACACTCCTCCATCCTTTCTCATCCCACCCCCGTCCTCCTCCTACTCCCTACTGCCTACCACCTACTCCCTGCTTGAAAGTAATGCTGGAATGCTCTACTGTCTCGTCCGTCACCTCTCCTTCTGCTTCTCCGCGAGGAGCCATAAATGGGGCCCCCATATGGGTAGGAAGATCCGCGTGAGAGGTGGGCCGCCCAGGGCGCTCGTAACGCATCCGGCTTCCGCGAGGTGGGCCATGGATGGAGCCCCCCCATGGGAGCACGTGCCGCTCGAGGGGTGTGCCGAATGGGGGCAGGGCAGCAGCGGGAGCAGGAGGACGAGGACGAACAAGGAGGAGGTTGGGAACGGCGAGGTGGGAGGAGGTGACGAGAAGACTCGGTACGATCGGAATGGGTACGGGAAGACCAGGGACGACGACCGACGGCAGGTCCTGCCAATTCTAAACAGGACGTGCAGTCGGTGGCGCTGCGGACGCCATCCGTTTGAGACACCTGGTCGCCTGCTCAGAAGCGGCCGCAGTTGGTTTTGGACAGCAAATTCTGTCAGGCATTGTACCCACTTTCCAGTACCCGTTTCGGGCGTGCCAAAAGAATGACCACGGCGCTGTGGAGAGAAAACGAGGACCCAACAGCACACGAGGGTTTTAAAGCAAAAACAAAAAACATGTCGGAAGCATGGATTACCCCATCCTCCAGGGAGGCGGAAGATTCGAGGTTTGGGGACTCGACTTTGCCCGACGGGGCCGTCAGGAAAATGACGCGACCTGGTCTGAAAACTGACGCCAGCTCCCGCCGCAAGCATATCACAAAAACTGGACCGTCGAGATGAATACCAAGACCGTCAAAAAAGCACTGGCAAATCTGACTTCCAGCAAACTCGAGTCTTACGTTTCCCCAGATCCTCAGGATGCCCAACGGGCTTTCAGCCAGCCGGCAGCCCGCCATCGAGTCTGCCTGGACAGCCAGGCCGAGCATCCTGTCGGTCAGCCACGACCTCGGCAGTAATGTGGGCCCAACAACGACTGCTGTTACCAAGATCACTACCACCATCAACAGTGGCAACTGTATTACGACGAAATACGACCACGACTACGACTACTATTGCTGCCACTGCTAATGATACATTGCTGATGCAGTTAGCATTAACAGCACGACTACCACAGCATAGCCACTCTGCTTACCAACATTATTAAGATGACGACTGCGACCAGCACCGCATTACTTTATTGGTACGAAGAGATGAGAGAGGGCACCCCGCCGTGAAGTAAATGGAGGGAGCCCTGCGGGCAGAAAGTAACGTCCTGTGAGTGAGCGGCAGCCACGGAGCAATGCAAATTACCATCGACACACGGCAATGGATAACGGACCTCGGTACGGAACCATGCAGGACGACATTACTGCTGCAAGGCTGCTGGTGGTGGTAATGGTGTCCAGGACGCTTCGGGGGCAACGACCCTCATACCTCCCGTCTCCTGGTCTCTGTTCTTCACCTCATCGTCCACCTCGTCGTCGTTCCTCTTTTATGTTTCCTCCCGCCCTCCACCTTCCAACCCCCCGGCCTGTCCTGCAGCCATGCTTCTCATCATCGCCCTCCTCCTGTCAAATTATTTCATCCTTCCTCCCCCTCGCCTCTTCCCCCATCCTCCATCCCCATCCTCCTCTTCCTCCTCCTCCTCCTCCTTCTCCTCCTCCTCCTCCTCCTCCTCCTCCTCCTCCTCCTCCTCATCATCATCATCATCATCATCATCATCATGATCATCATCATCATCATCATCATCATCATCATCATCATCATCATCATCATCATCATCATCATCGTCATCATCATCATCCTTTTCCTCCTCCTCCTCCTCCTCCTCCTCCTCTTCTTCCCCCTCCTCCTCCTCTATTCCTTTTCCTTCTAAACAACTCCTCCCTGCCGCACCCCGAGATATGTCGGCAGCCCGAGCCCGGCATTTCGCCAGAGACTTCCGCACCATTTATGATCCTGAACCTAAAAATGTGCAATCGTTGCGCGGATGGAGGGCGAGTCCTTTTCACAGTAAAGCTCTCACCTCATCGCCGCGCACATTCGTCTTAAAAGTTTGCAGCAGCTTCGCGGACGGAGAGCGGGTTCTCTTCAAAATATGGCTCTCGCCGAAGCGCGGCGCGCATTCGTCTTAAAGACGTGCAGCAGCTTCCCGAATGGAGGGCGGTTCCTTTTCAAAGTGTGGCTCTCTCCTTTGCGCCGCGCGCATTCGACTCAAAAGCCCGACAGAGTGTACGGATAGAGAGCGGCTCCTTTTCAGAATGTGGCTCTCGCGTTAGCACCGCGTACATTCGTCCTAGGAACTTTCAAAGTGCCAATTGTTCGGCTGACGACCCAGGAATGGTGTTTCGGCACGATGAAGGACTGTCAGGGCGCAAAAATCAAAGGAATTCGCGGTGTTGAAGTCTCAGGAATGGTCTTCTGGCACGATGCAGGAACGTCAGGGCGCAACAGTAACGTTGATTCGCGGCGTTGAAGTTGCAGGAACGGTGTTTTGGCACGGTTCATAATTTTCAAACGGCTGTCTTTCAACGGGGCACTTCCCTCAGTAAAAACAAATCTTTCTGGGGACCTGTGAATAGGGAACTTGGAGGGAGGGCTTATGACAACATCGTCGATAAGTCTTGGGTGTACAGTGGTCCTCCTCCTCCTCCTCCTCCTCCTCCTCCTCCTCCTCCTCCCGAGGAGCCTAGGCACGAGGCTCTGATGGCTAGCCAACGCACCGACCTCCACTCCCCTCACTTACGGAGGGCCCGATGGGCCGGAAAGATTCTGCCAGGTACCCCTGGCAAGAGCCCCTGCGCAAGCATCGTAAGGGCCTTGGCGCCATGCGCCGTGGGGTGCCTATGAACTGAGGGTCTCCAGCTGACTGAACAGCACCTCCCACATGGTAAGGCTTCGGGCTGCGCACGGACAGCCCCCCCCCCAGGTAGCCCGGCTGGCCTCAGCAGGCTCACCAAGCAGCCCCAGCTGGCCTCAGAAGGCCCCCCAAGTAGTCCGGGGCGGCCTCAAAAACGTGGCGCCGCCTCCGGCGGCGCCCTTGGGGCGCTCCACGCCCCAGGGTTGGAGTGTTGAGACCGCCCCAGACTACTTCTTTTAGCCTGTTGAATTGGAGCAAGCTGGGACTACTCGGGGGGCCTGTTGAGGCCAGCCGGGACTGCCTGGGGGAGACGTCTGTGCGCAACCCGAAGCTTTACCACTCCCGCAGCTGAAACAGATTACAGCCGTCAGCTCAGGGCGGCCCGCGGCCCGACTCCACCGTTTCGTTTCGTCCCCCTCGGCTCTACGAGCCTGGGCCTGCACACAGCGCACCAGAGGGGGCTTGGGGTCGAGGGAAGGTTCACCAACGCAGGACTCCAAGACGCCTTTCACGGGGCCCTATCGATGTCCGTGTCCTAGTTGTTGATCCCCACCCCCCCGGTTGCAATGAACTGCCCCCCTCGCTTCACGAGTTTGAGCTCCTGTCCATACCTCGTCCTATCAGAGGCTGGCGCTCGAAACCTGCGCGCACCTCCCTTGGCCCAGGTACGGGCGTGAGTATTGCCGCCCAGGTCGCGCTGATAAATGCGCCCGTCGAGAACGGCCTGTTCTTGCCCTTTCGCAGAGCGAGGCCCGATGGCCAAATCCGCCAGAATTACCCAAGGAGAAACAAACGAAAACACACACACACACTAAAAAAACACAATCTCTGCATGCAGCACCGTGCGCGATCGTCACTCAAGGTCACCGCACCAATACGCCATCGAACATGAAAAGCAAATAAATCCTCCTCCTTTCTTCTGCAGCATCATCACCGCCACCATTATAGTAAGAATCATCCTCAGTATCCTAATCTCAATCCCCATCATCATCATCATCATCAACATACATCATCACCACCGTCATAGTTAGACTCGCCATCACCACCACCATCACCATCATCACTATCAGCATCATCAGATTCATCATACTCATCCTCAACACCGTCCCTGCCGCCATCGTAACCATCGGTAGCAACAGCATCATCATAAACGTACCATCATGTTAGTATGCATAATGATCAGATGTTTCCAACCAGATCTTTCCTGAGGAATCCGTAGCATACGGAATGAGCGTCGTCTGCTTCAAATCATTTTGCAAGTACAACGCGCAAATGCCGACCACCGTTCGCAGCCAGTTCCGTCGTACAATCTAGTGTCGTGGGGTAGTGCGGAAAGTTGTGTTGGACGCAGCACAGGGCACGAAGAAATTGGGCAGGACCTACCACGGCTTCCACGACACAGAGCTCGACAATGGAATGACGTCCATGAGGCCCAAGACTTACCGATACAAGACACTTCATACACTCACAACCCTACTGCAAGCCGCGTGCATATACTTCTCTGGCACTGTGACCAAGCCGTCATCTATTGGTGCAGACCTTGGGCCCTAGCGACTGGCATGGCTACGCTATTGCCGCGTACACTGCCGTAAGATGACCTGGAGCATCGCCTGTACGACGAAGACGCTCATAGGAAAATCGCAGTAAGGCGGACGAGGAAGAGGGGGGAAAGGCGGGAGCGAGGGGGGCTGCAGTTGGCTAAAATTAGTTGGTATGGTTATTCAGGGGACTCGGGAAGTGGAGGTCGCGCGAGCAGGGCAGGATAAAGCATGGACCCTTTGGAACACATGACACCGTAAGCCTTTGTGGCTGCGAGGCCACACGACAGGAAAATCGAAAGATAGGCTGTGGCCCCTGGTCGACATGCGCCAGACGCACGGCAGGGACCTGATAAGACGTGTTATTCGCGGCGGTGCAGAACGCGCTCCGTGCCCGTACCAACGGGAGAACCAATGGTGGCGAACCAATGGTCAAGAAGAGGCAGCGTCTACCGACTTACTCGTGCACTGAAGCTGAAGCCAAAGGGAGATCACCCAAGGGCTACTTGCCATTGGAAAGCGAAGACGAGAACGAGGATAAAGGCGACGGCAGCGGCGACGACGTGAACAACGAGTCGGTTGTGGATCGTGGATCAGGCGCGTGGGCGCCAGACCCACGGATCAGGAGAGGCGCCCCTGAGAACATGAGGCCAGAGCCGCCCGATTTGGCGACGGCGCGCGCCGATCCTGCACGGAAGCGGAGCCCGCCGCGGACCCACGCACCTTAATTAGTCCATGGCTGCGCTGCCCCGGTGCACGGCACAGAGAAGCGAGGACGAGGACGAGGAAAACGGCGGCGGCAACGGCGACGACGCGGACAGCGAGGGGCGATCTCCAGAGCACGATCGGCCAACATCGAATCGGGAAATCAGATCCGATCGGAACCTGCGTGGGATCGGGCAGCATCGGCAGGAGTCGGAATCACATCGGATCGGCCGCGCAGGGATGCTCAGCAGAGCCACGAGAGCATCGAGCCACATCGCATCTGGCTGGGATACCGGAATCGAAGCGGATCGGGCCAGCAAAAATCTACATCATATCGGATTGACCTCTGGAAGGAGAGGAGGAGGAGGAGGAGGAGGAGGAGGAGGAGGAGGAGGAGGAGGAGGAGGAGGAGGAGGAGGAGGAGGAGGAGGAGGGAGGATGGAGGAGGGAGGAGGAGAGGAGGAGGAGGAGGAGGAGGAGGAGGAGGAGGGAGGAGGGGAGGAGGAGGAGGGAGGACGAAGGACGCGATCTGCAGGCGCGCCGAGGCCGCCGCAGTTCGGCGTCGGCGAGGCCGCCACCACTGGGGCCCAGCGACGTGAAGCTCTGCTCGTCGCCCTCGGAAAGGAGGAGGACGACGACAACGACGAGGACGAGGAGGAGAAAGAGGAGGACAAGAAGAAGGAAGAAGAGTGATGACGAGGGGAAGAAGAAGGAAGAGGGACGGACGGAGGGATGGACGGAGGAGGAGGAGCAGGAGGAGCAGGGTTGGCCTCCCCCATCATTTCTCCTCCTCCTCCTCCCCCTCCTCCTCCTTCTCCTCCTCCTCCCTCCTCCTCCTCCTCCT